CCTCTAGTAATATATTTACTGAGAAAAATGGTGACGTGTTTAATACTTATTTTACCCGCTGTAATCACTTCTGCAGCTCAGTCACACTGCAGAACATTATTTTGTGGTTTTTGATGGGTGTTACTCAATAACTACACATTGTAAATCCAAGTGTGTGAAGACATTGAATATGAGGATTCACACTTTTTAAAAGCAAAGTAATGCAGGGAAGACATACTGGACAGCTTTTTTATAATTTGTGGATGCTATAAAGTTAAAACAGGCCCATCGAAGAATAGAATCACTTCTAATTTTAGTTAAATGTGTTTTAAAAGTTCCATCATATATAAATACACCCACTTTTCTTTGGCCTTCTAGCTTTCTTTAATTGATTCCTCGAATCATCAGCCTCCCCATTATCTTCTTTATTCACTCCTGTCTCCACTTCCCTCCACATCGAACATCTCTGTGATTTGTTTTTGCGTTAACTCGCTGTCCAGGAACTGAAATAGAAAGGGTGAAGTGCTTGGGAGCCTGCTGTTCGACATTACGAATGACTGGGATGAATCAAAATAACTGCAAAACAGTACCTCAGAATTCATGTTGAGTTTAATCATTGCCGTACAATTATTGATAWTAAACCTTATTTGAAGTTAGAAATTTGACCTTTTTTTTCTAGTGATGTAAAAATGGACATTCTCTGAGTGCACTGACAACACTTTATGCAGACTTCTCATCATCATTAATACATTTCTAATGCTTTACTCTGGGGGTTTAGAAAAGCCTGTTTGAAAACCTTTTATGGTTTTCAGAAAATGGACTCACTAATCACCCATTAGTAGAATTTAGATACTGACCTCAACCAACAAATGGAAAACAGCGTCGTGGTGTTAGAGAATACCATTGTTGCAGACAGATGAAATTCTAAAGACATAAGAATTTGTAAACAAGCAGGGGGTGAATCAAAGGATGAAATTACTGTATCAGGATCGTAGAATATAGGGTATCAGGAAATACTGACTAGAAAAGTGAATGTGCAACAGGCAGGGCTTCAAGCGTTATGTCATCTGAGCCTACTTTGAGCCCTGGATATCTCAGTAACTGTGAGAAGTCTTGGTGAAAAAGGGAGGGTGAAGCAGATACACAGAGCGATAAGATGGTTAATGGGTGTGGCAAGGGAGAGAAGAAATGTGAGACTGAAAAGAAAGAAAGGAAAATATAATATATAAGATAAGCTACAAGTTCAAACCCTTAGAAGGTGGATGTTGCACAAAAGCTATTTAACGTTTACTTCTGTTACCGTAATGTTTTATCAGACCAACCTTTACCAATGTAGGTTTACTGGTTTTTTAATAAAACAACTTCTTTTTATGACATCGTTTATCTGATATGATGGCTTTGTGCGGCAAATTGAATGAAAATGTTTCGAGGTTAAGGCAGTTTTGCAGCATACAGACATTTTTTAGCCACAATCCAACACTGAGCAGCAACAACTTTTTAAAGGTGTTAAACATTTCTAATGATTTAAACTATGCATTTTTAGTTTGTCAGATTACCCATATGCAAGCAGCTCTGCTCATTCTTCAACATCTTGGAAGCTGTGTTTGTCAAGTTCATGTTTGGCTGTTGCTTTTATTTTGAAAGCACAGCTTCTGAGTCAGGGCATATTTTCTATGCAAATACAACGTTTTGAAAGCTACCAGTAACAGAACTGGCTCTAGGACAATCTTGCTTCGAAATAAATATTTAGTAAATCAAGTCAACATCAAAGCGTGATAAACAATTACTGTACTATTGTAGTATATATTTATTGTACTGTATTGTGTGTTACTTCTATCTTTTTACTTGACTTAAATATTAAATAAAATGCAGAATCAAATCGTTTTTGATTAGGAGTATACTTTTCAAAATATTGGTGACTTCCACAAGTATGCCGTATGCACCCCCATTCCATTGGAGAAGCAGGCTAAAGCCAGATGGTCCATCTCCTCTTTGGTACAGAGAAACTGCTGTCTGTTGTTTCCAAAATTAATTTCAAATTTCAATTCTTTTGACCATAAAATAAATTTCTATTTTGCTTCTGTCCATTTTAAATGAACTTTGGCCCAGAGAAAACAACAGCATTTCTGGTTAGTTTTCACACATGGCTTCTTCTTTGCATGATAGTGCTTTAAGCTAAATTTGTGGTTAACAAAGTGAACAGTGTTTACTGACAATGATATGTGGAAGTTTTCCTGAGCCCATGCAGTGATGTCCAGAACATCAGACCTGTGCCACCTGAGGGCCTGCCAGTCACAACCATCCAATATTGACATTTAGCCTTATGGAGAAAATATGGTCCTGTTGGCTTCATCGGAACGAGATCTGCAGCTCTCGCTGGAGGGGTTCGCGGCCGAGTGCGAAGCGGCCGGGATGAGGCTCAGTGCCTCCAAATCCGAGGCCATGGTCTTGAGCCGGAAAAGGGCAGAGTGCCTTCTCCGGGTCAGGGGGGTCDCCCTGTCTCAAGTGGAGGAGTTTAAGTATCTGGGGATCTTGTTCACGAATGGGGGAAGAAYGGAGCGGGAGATCGACAGGCGGATTGGCGCAGCGTCTGCTGTAAAGCGGGCGCTGTACCGGTCCGTCGTGGTGAAGAGAGAGCTGAGTCAGAAAGCGAAGCTCTCGATTTACCGGTCGATCTACKTTCCTACCCTCATCTATGGTCATGAGCTTTGGGTCATGACCGAAAGAATGAGGTCACGGATACAAGCGGCTGAAATGGGTTTCCTCCGCAGGGTGGCTGGACTCTCCCTTAGAGATAGGGTGAGAAGTTCGGTCATCCGGGAGGGACTCAGAGTAGAGCCGCTGCTCCTCCACGTCGAGAGGAGCCAGTTGAGGTGGCTTGGGCATCTGGTAAGGATGCCTCCTGGACGCCTCCCTGGTGAGGTATTCCRGGCACGTCCCACCGGGAGGAGGCCCCGAGGAAGACCCAGGACACGCTGGAGGGACTATGTCTCTCGGCTGGCCTGGGAACGCCTTGGAGTTCCCCCGGAGGAGCTGGAAGTAGTGGCTGGGGAGAGGGAGGTCTGGGCCTCCCTTCTGAAACTTCTGCCCCCGCGACCCAACCCCGGATAGGCGGAAGAAAATGGATGAATGGATGGAGAAAATATGGGATTTTGAAATTCTTAACAATTGCTGTTGAGGAACATTATTCTGAAATTGTTCCACTGGTTTTTGATGCAGTTTTTCCACAAATAGGTGAACTGCTGATTACCTATGTCTGAGGGATACTTTTAAATGTGGTCCTCCAGGTGGTCCGAACTAAGGCCAATTAATCTAAATTGTTGCAAAATGCTCATCAGGCTGCTTCTTATTTGCATCACATTATCTTTTTTTTTTTCCCTGTCCCTACTTGAGATGTGTTGCCACCATCATTTAAGAAAAAAAAAAGTGGCACAATTATACTTTGTGAATTAAAATGGGTTTGAAAGTTTCAAATTGTTGCATTGTTTTTATGTTTTACACATTGCGGTTGCAACTATACACCCAATTTGTGATTTGATAATATCAGTTAATTTTGTAATCTGATTTCATAATCCAGATTACACCAGAAACTGTACTACCCTATTGAAATCATGGCTACTTCCTACTTTAGAAGCCAACTTTGGGCATATTAGTTAAGCAGCTTCAAAACTAATGTACACCGAGTACTTTGTGCACCATATAGCAAAATAAATCACTGTAAAAAAAATGTGATGAAAACATAAAATCACGGTTACATCTTCATTTTGTTAAAAAAAAAAAACAAAAAAAAAAAACAGCTCAAATCGAAGCAAAGGTTCTCCTTTCCACCGCTGCTGCAACGTGGGGTTTCCCAGCGCCGACTGCAGGGTTACCGCGCCCATCTCGTTGTTCGATGGCCGCACGAGACTCATCAAACTCCGGGCAGGGCAGCTGTTAGGCTCGGCAAAAAAAGGTSAAACCGCCGGCTTTCTTACTGACGAGGAAAAGCGGGGACATTTTAAATTAGCTGCTTCGACTGCCAGTGCATTGTCATCAACACAAGGCTAGTTAGTGGGTGTGATTCCCCCCCCCACCTCCTCCTCCTCCTCCTCTTCTTCCCTGGTTGTCGAGCTCCCCCAGCCGTAGCCTGCCTGCTTTCGGGAAGGGCTGCTCCTCGGAAAACGACGCTAGCTGGCTTAGCTAGTTAGTGAGCTAGCGTTGTGGTGCTCGTTGATGCGTGGATCGGAGGAAGACGTCTCGTTTTCCAGTCAATGCCAAAGCGTAAAATCAGGCGAAGACTGAATCGGGTAAGGTGGAACTGAACCGCTCTCACGTATTTTTGATGAAAAGATTAAAATAGCATTAGCTGATGAACTGTGGTCGAATCGGACTGGCCGGGGGTGGGGTAGCATTAAACAGCGGTGAGCTAACGCTGAGCCCATTTTATAATCAGCGGACTCAAACAGAAACACGGGAGGTTTTTTTTTTTTTTTTTTTTTTTTTTTTTTTTTTTTTGCAAACGGGGCTTATATCTTGATTTTGCAAGATGAGCAGAGATTGCTTCGAGTTTTCGTGTAACTTTCCATCCAGTCAATCAAAAACAGGTTTAGTGCTCTTCAATACGTGGAGACGGTTCTGGATTTTGTTGAAATAACTTAAAATGTTGGCCAGGCAGGCTGCTGTCACTGACGGCCCTCCGGACCTGCTGCTCGGCCTAAAACACGGAGCTGTAAACTCCTGGCTGSTTGTGTCAGAAGACGGCTGAAATAAAACTAATGCAGACATAAATATATAGTTTTAATAACCGTGTAGCGGGGTTTTTGTCTTGGGTATTAAATGTAAGGATGTTGCTGAGGGTTTCACTCACTGGGTTGGGCTAAAACGATAAAAGTCCCGAAAACAAATTTACCGTCAAATGTTGGTAGATGACGGAAGCAGATCATCTGCTGTCACAAGTTCCCTCTTACGTCCATTACGCCCCTCTAAGTTTATACATAAGATGTATGTATATTATTAKTATATTGTTATTGTGGACGCGTTAACACCCATTTTTTGACAAGCCCAGTACATTAGCCTGCTATGCAGCGTCTTAGTTTTGTTGCAGTAGTTTTTTATTTGTATGCAATTCAGAAATAGATGGATAATTCACGTTATGAAAACATTTCAGACAATATGTTAYTGCATTTGTTGCTTAAAGTGAAACAGGCCATCACTGCCCGACCTTGCAGTCTTTTTTTTTTCTTTTTCTTTTTTTACTGGCTCGGGTTCGCTTCAAGATTAAATCTTGTAAAATATACGAACAGGGCGTAATTAAATCAGGAACGGGAACTGTAGCCTTTAACGAGATTGTTAGTATGTGAGTAAGTGGATTTCTGCAGGCCGGTAAACAAGACGATTTCCGAGTTGATCCGGTGCTGGCTTCACGACGAGCTAACTAGCGCTCGGTGTGATTGCGGAAGAGGCTTTTCCTGAATTGGCCGTGGTTTTGTTTTCTTATTTTATATGAGGCGACAAAGCTATTTGGTTTGCATGTAGTGGAATTAAGAGACTCAAGCTCCCCTTTATCTTTTATTAGAAGAAAGGTCGACACAGAAGTTAACTTAGATCTCCATGTTTGTACCTAATAATGAGCTCTGCCCTGCCTACAGAGGCCTCGTCGTCAAGTCTGTTAGCATCGGCGGCTAACTAGCAGTCTGCAAGATGGCGTTTAGCCGCATCCTCTCAGATTTCCATCAGCGCGTATTAGCATTACTAGCGTCATTAGCACGACTCTGTGCACTGCTAACTAAATGTAGACATTTGATTAGACCCAAATACTAACGATTAATAGATCTCCACGTTATTTCATAAAATAAATTGGCTAAAATGTCCGTCTTGAAATGGCTTCTTTACTCTAGGTGCAACAAACAAACTGAAAGGGTTATCTAACAGACATGCAAATGATCTGATTTGTTTGTAACAGTGTTGTAGGCAAATCACAATGCTCCACACAGCTAAATACACCTCAGCTGTTTGTACACTGATGGGTAAATATAGGCAAAGCAAACTTAAAAAGATAGATCTAGTTTGTTCATGCAGCTGATATTTTATATTCGTACCTGTTACAAAAGCAACCTTTTTGCACTTAAATGTAGCACCTTTATAATATCTTTTTAATCTGCTTTCACATATGCATAGATTTCTGCTGAATGCACATTTGCTTCTTAGTTTGTCAGAAGAAGAACCCAGACTCTAGTCATGCTGGAGAAATAAGGCAGTGGTTATTATCAGCAGCTGGAAATCCAGGCACTTTGTCAAAGCAAGTGCCTGGATTTGTTATGTGTTTTTAAAGAATTGAGATTAGATTCATCCTTTTTATAATTCTGAAAACATATTTTTAATGTCTAGTCTGGCTTTGCGACTATTTACGTTAGTGGCCATGGATAGGATTAGAGACTCATGGACTGTGGATTTCAGCTTTTAGGATTATAGAGTTGCTCAGTGATATTGCTGGTTATGGCTTTTTTCCATGATCCAGCTTTAGACCTGTGAAACGTTGCATTATCAGAGTTTAACAGTACAGATAATCCAGTAGGTCCCTTTCGAGCAGATGTTGATATGTGCACTGCAAGATATTTTAAGTTTCTAAATTGGCTGAAAGCACAAGAGACACCCTCAGCAACAGGAGACTCATTTAAGGGATTTGAAAACAGCTAGTGCTAGCTATGTCTCCAGTCTGTTTGCCACTGCTCATTGTTTATCAGGCAGTCAGCTGACCCTGATCAGGCGCTTGGAAAAGAGAAGTGATGAGAGAGAGGAACTAGTGAACTGCAGGCATCCACAGTCCTCAGTAGGAAGTTTACAATCTTCTGAAATTTGATTACTCCTAAATTTAAAACTCAAATTTTAAACATAACTTTAGACTGTATCACAATATTATTGCCCACTGAAGTTTCAATTGTGTCAATCAGCAATTATATTAAATTATTGACCTTCTAATTAGCTGTGCAATATTGAATAAAAAAGGCTCAAAACAGTAACTATTAAGAACTGAAAGCTTCAAGATTTATACAAGGGTCAGGAAAAACTTTTGTTTTAGTCATTAAACTTCCATATTTCAGTTTAAAGCCACATTAAACCCAAACAAGAGCTTTGCACCTTTGGCTAATCACAGATTAATACCCTGAAAACATAACATGTGAGGACAGTAAACATATGTATGTACTGTATGTTCTGCAAAATGAGTTTGAGTAAACACAGACTGCAGTGCAAAATAAGTGAATTTAATGATTTTTGACAGACGTTTGCATAAAAATGATTTTTTTAAATCACCATCCATTGATCCCAGTCACTAAAATAACATGTAATTCTCCTAATCTACTTTAAAAACAAACAAAAAAAATCTTACAGGTATGTTTTTAGAAACAACCTTTATAATTTCCTTTTTGAAACTGACCATTTTTCCTCTGCTGGCTACGCTTTGTATAAGTTTGGCGTCACTATGATGGAAAGACATTCCCCTTTTTAAATATACACTGAAAATCCTGATGACATTGGTCCAGACCAATAAAAATCGAGTTTTCTAACTTGCACTCTTGTAAACTTAACAAACTTGTTGCTAACCACTAGCCAGGTGATAAATCACCAAATTTAAACAAACTATGTGTCATTTTGAAGCTTTTGAGATGTAGAATTTTGTAAATAAAATTTTATGAAAATAGAACCTGGCACTGTTGAAAATTTTTTTTAAACAGGGTTGAAGCAATTATTTTCAGTATCACCGCTGGTCGCAGAGGTCCTCAAGGTGAAGATGGCATTGTGCTGTGGATGATGCTAAATAATAAATACATTCCATGACATGTTTATTATAAGATTAATGAGTGTAAGAAGATAATATGTGTCAGAAAGGTCAACCCATCAGCAAATCTAAAAGGTGATGTAGGCCGGTAAAGACGATTGGCAGTCTTGTCCTGCAGCCTTCGGTGACAAAGGTATACTGACTCAAATACACCAGGTAAGGTAACTGGGAAGGCAAAATTAATGGTCTTTTGCTATTTAGAATGTTAAATAGTTCTGAATTTATCGTGTTACCTTAGCTAAAGAGTTTATGTAAGAACTTTTTTTAAAACTATTCATGATCACATATGTCAGATGAGAAGTCTACTCTTTAAGTTTGTTTTTGGGTTATATTCTTTGGAAGTCCATGCATAATACAGAAAAAATATTTTTATGTATGTTTTTATTTATTTATTTATTAGCAGGTAATTTGTGAAAGATCCTAGGCAGTTTTGTATTTGGACATAATTGTGTCTATTTACTTTAAGGTTTATAAATGAGTTTTTCTCATTGTAGTTGGTGCAGTAAATTACTTTCACCAATTTTGTTGCATAAACGAGTGCATTTACAGATGTGTTCCCAATGTGAGTTTTTTTACACGCTAATAATTATTTACATGGACGTCAGAACAAGGTTGTGTCACATAATTAGTTTTTAACAGGTCAGTAACCATGTTGCAACAATTAATATGATCTTTGTCATTAATATCTATGCTTGTAATTATTTGCCACCATAATATTACACTGTGGTACCTAATAGAAAAAACATTTATGTGGCTTTAAATTATTGACAGTAACTGTATTCTGTGGCATTACATCAAAAGCAACATGTCATGGTATGAAAGGGATATAATTTGCAGCTAATAAACACTTTAAAAAGCATATTAAACTAGTTTGTATTTTTATTGGATTGGTTTAATTTTTTTGTTAAGTACTGTTCTGTAGACCAATTTAAATTGATCTCTGATGTAATAAATTTAATGAAAGTCAGTTTCTCATAAAAACTTTCAAGCAAAATGCATTAGTTTTCTTTGAATGTGAGATGGGCTAGTTTAAGTTTCTGTTACATGTAGGCCTAATCTGTTATAATGACTTGAATTTAAATATATTTTATTAGATGAACTTTGTGAGGGTCTCAGGGATCTGTATTAATATAAGTGGCTTATTGATCACTTGGCAAAATTTCTGAGTACCCTGGGGATTGAGGTCAACAGGATAATGACTGCTTTTTGGATCACTGGAAAGTCATGCCTTAACAGGATTTGTCTGGCAATCTGAATTGTGTGTCAGGACACACTGACATTGAGGTGTGAATATACGAGTACACAATAAGCTGTATGTAAAGTAAATGTTTTTTTGAAGTGTTATTTTTTTAGTCGAATAAAAACAAGTACTTTTCTAGTTGTATTTGTTGTCAGAACTCACCTAAAATATCCTGATGCATCTCAGTAATCCAGGTAGAAAAATCAAAAAGAAAAAACTAAGTAGGTCCTCTGGAGAAGTTCTTCTTTAATGAAACGTTACGTCTCTCCTCCAAGAGACCTTTTCAGTCTGGCAGGTTTCAGACTGAAGAAGTCTCTTGGAGGAGAAGAACTTGTCCAGGGACCTATTTCATTCTTTCTTTTTGATCACCTAAAAAGTATTACTGCTTTGCAAATTAAAATTTGTGTAATGGTATGCTTTTGTTTTATATTTTTCCAATTTATATATGTTTCAGATCAAGTGCCCTGGTAGCTGGAGAAAGGTAATTAAAAAGGAAGAATAAAATGAGTGAACTGGACCAGTTACGCCAAGAGGCAGAGCAGCTCAAAAATCAGATCAGAGTAAGTAAAAAATAAATTTTAACATTGTTGGTTGGTTCCTGTTAAATGCACAAGTTAAGTGTATAAACGGAAAACTTGAAGCAACTAAAAGACATTTGGCACTAAAAAGACGATTTTTATTTTTATTTTCAGGATGCTAGGAAAGCATGCGCAGATGCCACACTATCACAGGTATCTTTGAGCTTAATATTTGCCTGTGGGTACAAAGCTGCACGGTGAATACATTGAAATTAACCAGAGTGCAAAATGGTTTGCAGATCACAGCTAACATTGACCCCATTGGGCGAATCCAGATGCGTACAAGACGAACGCTGCGAGGTCATTTGGCTAAAATCTATGCCATGCACTGGGGAACAGATTCCAGGTAAATTAAAGTCTAACTTTAATTTTATTTGACGTCTTTGTACTTTTCTTTCTCTGCAATTTATTTTCTTCCAATAATGACGACAAAATATTGACAATGGATAAAAAAGCACGTGTGCAACAACTTTTTAAACTGTGTTAATATTTATATTGCTGCTTTTTTGTAGGCTCCTGGTCAGCGCCTCTCAAGATGGCAAACTCATTATTTGGGATAGCTATACCACAAACAAGGTGTTTTTTTTTTCTCTTTATCAAATTGTATAATGTTGTAAAAGTTTGTTTCTCAATCATGACAGCCTACATTAAGAAGCTTGGATCTTGTTTTGACAAAAAAAACGGCTTGATAGACAATAAGTTGATGAATAAAGCGTAGGCTTGTATTTTTTTGTGACATATTCATTTTATGGAATTTAATCTGTTTTTTTTTTTAACCAAATCAGTTGGGCTGTTTCAGGGCAGGTCTAAAACCAGTTTTATGTTAGTTTCAGTTTTAAAATGGTTTGCTTTTCCATAACCACATCATTTCACCTCTTAAACATCACTTTAAATWTATGTTCACATTTATGATCATTTATGATCATAAATGTGATACATTTATGATATATGATCACATTTCAAAAAAGGGATTTACTCTAGATCAGTGTCTGATTTAGGGATGCAGCTAACAATTATTTTAGTAATCGATTAATCGAGTAATCAGATATAAAAAAAATTGTCATGTTCTGCAGTATTTATTTAAGCTTATTTTATTAGATATACAATTATTTAATATTGTGAAGGGGTAATCTACACCTGATGACCCTGCTGCAATCAAAGTAAAATCACAATACCAGTTGTATTAATTAATGTGTTTTAAACTCCATTTGTTTGTATTGTGTTTGAGGAGGCATTAATTAAAAGCACTCTGTCATTGAATCATTTTTAACCATCACTGAAAAACCTAAACTCTTAAATTTATTGTTATGGATTGGAAAATTAAATGTCTCTTTTTTTGTTAGAAATTTAATAAGTAAAATAGGTAATATTGAGTTTTGTAGAGTTCACTTGTTAACTGTAACAAAAAAATATTTTAAGACTGTTATTAGGTTGATGCAGGGCTCCCATTTAGGCAATAAAAGATTTAGTCTCGACTGCTTAGCTATAAACAAATATGACAGCAGTAATGAAGGCTGAAATCATAAAAAGCAGCAGCAAATAATTTAAAAAAGTCCAACTATCTTCTATAAATACTTTTAAACTTGAAATATTTACTCCCAAGTATCATTTAAACTAAGATAAAAACATCAACAAACAAACGTGTTTCAGCTCAAGCTGTCAATCTGTTGCTGTGTTTTTATTTTTATCTGACAAACTTACAGTAAGTCTTGTTTTTAATCACACAACTTRCACACTGTTTAATAAAACCCTGCCAGGTCACCATGATTAGTCAGCACAAATAACATTAGCTTAAATATACCTCCTCCTTGTACATCTGGAACATGACACATTATCACAGATTTAGGTAACCTGTGGTACCTGTGGTTAACTCCGGACACATTCGGTACATGCAGCCACTGTTTTTGTTCTGGTGCAGAAACATCGAGGATGTGCAACGAGTATGTGGGGGCCTTAACTATTAGCGGAAGCGCTAACATTGTAGCATTGTGTGTTACACAAATAATATTCCGGGCAGCCGTACGTGTGCTGATTATAACAGTGTGTATTTTTAATGAAGCTTCGAGGCAGATAAATTTGCCTCGAGGATTTTTTAAATCAAATTACTCGAATTATTCGAGGAATCGTTTCAGCCCTAACCTGATGTTTATCTACAAACCTGTGCCTTAATGTCACGCTGGTAGTCTATAAAACAAACACACGTTTTCTTCACTTTCTCATTTGTCATCACTTTGATTTAAATCAATTGTGAATTCCAAGGCCAGTGAGGGTCTGTTGGGTTGACCAAATATGTTGTTCAGTGAAAACATGAATGTATGAACTGTCATGGCCTGTGATTTAATGATTGTCCTTTGCAATATTTATATTGTGCTCACTGATATTTCAATAGCTATTATATATATTGTACAGCCCTAATCGACATTTGAATTTAACGCATTAAATTGCTTTCATAACCCTGCCCTCTTTTTTTTTTGTTATTGATAGGTTCATGCCATTCCACTTCGATCTTCCTGGGTCATGACTTGTGCATATGCACCTTCAGGAAACTATGTGGCCTGTGGTGGCCTAGACAACATCTGCTCTATTTACAACCTGAAAACTCGCGAGGGGAATGTACGTGTGAGCCGTGAGCTCGCAGGACATACAGGTATAGAATTTTGTTCGTCTTACTTTCTTTTTTTAGCTAAAATAATAAATCTTTTTACAAGCGTCCATTACCCATTTAAAATCTAAAACCTCCACTGATTCTCATAAAATCAGGTTACCTCTCCTGTTGTCGCTTTCTTGATGACAACCAGATTGTTACAAGCTCTGGAGATACCACTTGGTAAGGAAAAAGATAACCAAAGCTGTTAAGTTATTCTCAGGCCAAACATTTCTGTGTGAAGTGTTGAAGGAATGGAAAACACTTGATGAATATATTTTAAAAATATCTTTCAGTGCACTTTGGGACATTGAGACAGGCCAGCAGACGACCACATTTGCGGGCCACACAGGTGATGTAATGAGCCTGTCTCTGGCCCCCGACTCACGGTTATTCGTCTCTGGTGCTTGTGATGCCTCTGCTAAACTCTGGGATATTCGAGAGGGCATGTGCAGACAGACTTTTACCGGTCACGAGTCTGACATTAACGCCATCTGTGTAAGTTATTTAGGCTGTGTGACCCAATTTTTATATCATTTTAAGTAACACTTCACTTTTTGTTTTACCTCTGTTATGTGTTAATACATTTTTTTTGTATACATTTGTTTTCTTTAGTTTTTCCCTAATGGCAATGCCTTTGCCACGGGTTCAGATGATGCCACCTGCAGGCTGTTTGATCTGCGAGCTGATCAGGAATTAATGATCTACTCTCACGACAATATCATATGTGGCATTACCTCTGTTGCATTCTCAAAAAGTGGCCGCCTTCTTCTGGCAGGCTATGATGATTTCAACTGTAATGTGTGGGACACACTAAAAGCTGACCGTGCTGGTGAGTAACAGCAGGCCTGGGACCATGCAGCTACTTGTTAGTTTGATTAAGTGTTCTTGTCTGTTAGACTTAATTTCATCTGTTTTTTGTTTTTTTTTTAAGGTGTGTTGGCTGGGCATGACAACCGTGTTAGCTGCCTGGGGGTTACTGAAGATGGCATGGCGGTTGCAACAGGCTCCTGGGACAGTTTTCTGAAGATCTGGAATTGAAGCCTGTAGGTTCTTTTGTTGTTGTCCTTAGTGAGCTTTCTGTGGCTACATTCACACTGCAGGCAAAAGTGACACAAATCAGACATTTTTTCCTCCTTCCCCAGATCAGATTTTTTTCCAGACAGTCTGAATGTGACAAATCAGATTTTTGTTTTGCTTGTTTGTTTGAAGTGGTAAGGCCAAATATAAACAATGGATGAAACAAAAAGAGCAGATCATTTATTCATCCTGATTGCACAACAACTTCAGAATAGCTACATGCTAATGTGTAGCATCCTTATTTACTTTTGTAAACACAACCTGCTGTGTCTTCTGTTCATGCAGGTTGCTTTAGGGCTATGGACTGTTCCCACCTGAGTCTGCTGGCGTTCACATTTAAATTTTTTTAATGGGAAATAATTTAATTGGAGCAAAAAAAAAAAAAAAAATCTGATTTAAGCTTTGAGGACTGTAGTGTGAAAGTAGTCTAAGAGTTCAAATGACCAAAGGTTTGAGCTGCTTCTGGTTTTCAATGTTGTGTTAACTTGTCTTTCTTTGTCTAGATAATTTTCAGTTTTATCTCTGTTCAGTAGGCCTTTAAATGTACTCTCATCAAAATGCCCTATGGGCAGGCCAGCACAAAAACCATCAACTTTGGGTCTTCAAATCCTAAATGTTTTTCTTTCTTTCCCAGATGTTCTTTTAACTCCAAAGTTGACTGGAATACCATTACAACTTGAGAATGTTCACAGCATCTTCTTCAACACTGTTTAAACTGACTTGGACACCACAAAAAAAAAATATATATATATATATAAATATATATAAAAATACGAAAGGAAACCAATGCCTTTCCTACACAAAGAAGAGCACAATTGTTTATCACCTAGTTAAGAAAGGATCTCCTGTGGTCTCAAATCAGAAACTTGTGCATTCCTTCTTGGACCATTTTATGTTACCTTGAAAGAGAAAAACAACACTATCATCCCATGCAAATGTGTGCGTCTTGAAAGCAAATGTTGGAGTGTAATTGTACAAATTATTTAACTTTTTTTTTAAGATTTCTATTCTGATGGTTTGTTATTCTTGATGGCTCTCTCTTTGTCATATTACTTTAGTGGTTTTTAGTATGTCTGAATTACAGCTTGTCCTTGTAATTCAGGTAAATCATAGAAGATGAGAAAAACATGCAGAAGTAAAAGCTTGGATCATATTACACGAGCAGCTTTTGAAATGTCCATTATGTATTTATATTCTAGCTGTTTTTGTTCCATCACAGCTTTTTGCACATGAAGCTTTGCCTCTCAATTAATACTATGTTAACTAACCAAGCACATGCTATAAGTTATGAATGCTCATTCCAGTAAAAAAAAAAGGAAAAAGAAAAAAAAAAGGAGTTATGAGGAAAATTATCCTGTTAAACCCCGTAATTCTTGTATATGCCTTCTGGCAGGATAGAGTGGAATAGTGAGGTAGTTGCCAAGATTAAAAAAAGGCATGGCTTGAATTTACTATACAGAAGGGGGTTGTGTTCTGTATCCACTTAAAAACACCTCATTTAACTAAATACACACTTCCTTTGCTTGGGACTGCAGTTACAACTCTGTGAATGAAATGTACAAATCAATGTCTGAAAATAATGAGCTGACGTTTTAAGTTAAAACATTTAATTTTGTCTGCCATGAGTTAATTTAGATGTGCATGCTGTAGACTTGCTTTCAATGGTGCAAAAAATTTCTAGATTTTTTTTTTCTTTTTGTTACCAAAAAAAAGGAGAGTAACCTATTGATTGAATGTAATAGAAGCCATTTTTTGGCTCAAACTCTGCATACATCTTGTACTGGTAATGCCATGCACCAGAATGATGAAAGACTTAATATTATCTTCATACTTAGTGTAAATTATGCTTACCAGTTCTATTGATGCCAATTTTTGTAATAATTATAACAATCATTGTATGAATTCTGTCCTTGACAAATCCTTCTCTCTCTCCTTCCAATCTTCGCTCTCAAAGGAACAAAAAAAAGTCCTCACATTCTGTCCATACTAAAACTTTTGTATATTTTTTTATTTTTATTTTTTTTGGTCTTAAATTGAAAATCGGAGCATCTGAATGACAGCATTTCACTGTATACAGAAGCACTTTTGTTAAGGTTGTGAGATATTTTCACTTTTTTTTTCTGCAATGATGTACAATAAATGTGATGTAATCGTGTGTGGCCACAAGTGAAAATGCAATTCAACTGAGATGGACTCCCTTTTCTCTTTCCATTAATATTATAGAGCTCTGCACCCTTATGTACCTTTCCACTTTTTGTATTTCATTTCAGTCTGTTGGTGTTCCACGGTGAGCTGGATGCAAGATAGATACTGTACTAAATTGTACTGTTATTGATTGAAAAATGTAATAAAAAGCTGTTTGAGATCCCTTTTTGTTGTCATGAATCAGAAAGCACTTGATTTTCATTCTCTTTAAAGTTATAAACTCGGCTTAATGTTTTTCTGATTTGGTAGCATCATGTAAATTTGCAATTAAGGCTTGAAGTAAAAATGAACACCTTTAAATTTTTATTGATGCAACTTGTATAACTAATTTTCTCTAACTTAAGTTTTAAGTGTACAAGTTCTGCATCATAGTTTTTTTAAAAGCTTTTGTTGAAAATGGTCACCTCCAATTCATATAATTAAAAATTTATATCTGCAAAAAAACACTGGTTTAAAACAATAAAAACATACTTTTAAACACTTTATTGAAAACATCAACAATATAGAAAGAAAAACTATGAAATATAAGTTGTAATTTTTGTTTTGAGTAAAATTAGCATTTTTTTTTATTTATGTAGTACTTTTGCCTGGTCCGACAAAACAACCTGAAAGTCCATAATATGCTCGGTCCAAATATGTCAATTGAAATTAAAATGTGATTCTAACTCTTATTTTCAACAACCGGAAGCTGCCTTTGTGGTTGCAGGAAGTAAATTTCGCCTGGTCGACACGCATTAAAAGCAGGGGTGCTAATAAAAAAATAAAAGTTTATATATGTTGTTTACACAAGTTTTCTACAGTGTTATAGTTTATATGCTTAAAAACAAAACAAATTTAACCTAATAGTCCGGTAGTTTGTCTAATAATTATTTGTAACAATAGACAATTAACACCCCCCCYCCCATGAAATGGTCTCGTCCTAACAAATGACGTAGTTCCTTCTTCACTTCTGCAGCCATTTTGCTAGGCCTCGCATGGTTTTACCTCGTGAAAAAGATATATATATCAAACCAAAACACGTTTCGTATTTTCCATGCGAGCGAAGACCTGTTCTTCGTTAATGTTTTTTAGGTTGCGAAAGTTAAGGGGGTTGTTTTAGTATAATTTGTTATCGGGGGGGATTGTTTGTTGAAAGAAGCACATTGGAGTAATTGTCGTCCGGTGTTGACGACACAGCTCGCCGGCCCGTCCCAGCGAACAAAGAAACSAGAGGGCGCAGACAGCACGCTTCCTGCAGCGCTGTTTCAGTTCAGTAAGGAAAAGTTCTAATTTAAGGAGAGAATGGCCGAGGGTTATATTCGAGTGGCAGAGGAAGAAAACGAGGAGCCCATGGAGATTCCTGCCGAGGACGACGGCACTGTTCTGCTCTCGACAGTGGCCGCACAGTTCCCTGGGGCGTGCGGCCTGCGGTTCAGGAGTCCCGTGTCTCAGTGCATGCGCGGTGTGCGCCTTGTGGAGGGGATTCTGCACGCACCAGAAAACGGATGGGGGAACATTGTTTATGTGGTGAACTATCCAAAAGGTACGCACAGCTGAAACCTAACACTCGACCGAGTGTGTAAACAGGTGGACTGTTATTTATAATTCATGTTATCGGATCAGCACTCACTCAGAACTAGAGTTTATGTTTAGGTTGTTGCAACAGACGATAAAACTAAACTATAGTTTTAGTTTCACTTATATATTAAAATGTTTTTGTATCAACTTTTCAATAAACAACCAAAATATTTTAACTTATGAACACTAGAAATGCCCATGACGTTACTAGTTGAAGTGTTTTTTTAAATTATTATTATTATTATTATATCACACTCATCATTTGCCATTTTCAGAAATATTCCAGAAGATCTTTCTGCTATTTTATGATAGATTGACTTATAATACTTTATTTACAAAAGGAGCTGCTTAAAACCTATCAGTCAATAAAACAAGTTTGAAAAAATGTTTCTGGTGATTTTGGTTTGATTTCATTATTATTTTTGATAAGTTGCTATGGTCATAATAAATTACACAAGTCTACTGTAATGGTAATAATGATGTAAAATGTTTATTAATATCATCTCTTCCTTACCCCCATTACATAACAATTGTGTTACTGACTAGGCAGTTATTCAGTCTGCTCCTATAAAAAGTCTGTTACACAGATTTCTCTAATCTAGCTTGTTGAAAAATACACAGTGAATTGTTAGATACTTTAAGAACCTCACATAATGTTTTTGTTGGAAGTTTATGGTGTTGATTCTGTTTTACTTTGTCTTTTTAGACAACAAAAGAAAAATGGATGAAATCGATGCTTCTTCTGCCGTGAAAATGAAGAGGGGGGACATGAAGACATCTGACTTGATTGTGTTGGGTCTTCCATGGAAGACAACAGAACAGGACCTGAAAGACTACTTCAGCACATTCGGAGAAGTCATCATGGTTCAGGTGCTGCGTGGAACATTTATTTTTAAAACGTGCACGCTTTGCATGCGGCACAGTCGAGGTTTACTGCTTATTTTGTTCTCTCAGGTGAAACGAGACGCCAAGACGGGAAACTCGAAGGGGTTTGGCTTCGTGAGGTTCACAGAATACGAGGCTCAAGAAAAGGTGATCGCCCAGCGTCACATGATCGACGGAAGGTGGTGTGACTGCAAGCTTCCTAACTCGAAGGTGAATATGGTAATGTACTTGCGTATACCCCCCACATTGTGGATACATTTCATATAATATAATAACTCAGTTTACCATGTATTGTTTTTTCTAATATTTGTTCATAGCAGGGTCCGGACGAGCCACTGAGAAGTCGTAAAGTGTTTGTGGGGCGTTGCACAGAGGACATGACCACAGATGATCTGCGGCAGTTTTTTATGCAGTACGGGGAAGTCACGGACGTTTTCATCCCCAAGCCTTTTCGAGCTTTTGCTTTCGTCACGTTCGCAGATGACCAGGTAWAATGTTAAAAGTGTAGAGAAAGATTTAGCATTTTAGCGTTGCCCAGTCCACGGTGATTGAATTTGTGTCATCTCTCCACAGGTTGCCCAGTCTCTCTGCGGAGAGGACCTTATTATCAAAGGAGTCAGTGTTCACATCTCAAACGCTGAGCCCAAACACGGAAATAGGCAGTATGATCGTACAGGRCGGTTCGGAAACGGTTTTGGAGCTCAAGCGTTTGGTGGCAGTCGCAGTGGGTTGGGGAGCAGCACCAACAGCAATCTGGCCAATTTCGGTTCGTTCAGTCTGAACCCCGCCATGATGGCTGCTGCTCAGGCTGCTCTGCAGAGTAGTTGGGGAATGATGGGAATGCTGGCGAGCCAGCAGCAGACACCCACCTCAGGCAGCGCTTCTAGTGGGACGAGTTCTAGCAGGGACCAGAGTCAGGCTTTCAGTGCAGGCAACAGCAACTACGGCGCCAGCTCGGCCAGCCTGGGCTGGGGCACGGGGTCCAACTCTACAACCAGTGGTAGTGGGTTTAGCTCGGGTTTTGGGTCCAGCATGGAGTCAAAGTCGTCTGGGTGGGGTATGTAAGTTAAGTGTTTCCGTGGGTAAGTATTGTGAGAAAGATGAGTCTTTTCAAGTTTATTTCTGGAGTTAATGCGTGTCTGAAAAAGTTTTGTGGAAGATGTTTTGTACATTTGGAGAGAGGGGGAAAAAAAGCTAAAGATTTAATTTAGGAAGCGTTGAAGTGAGTTGTTTACCAGGATCTTTGACTAAAGTGCTATTTTTGATGTCTTGTTTGTTTGTATCCATTTCAACTGGATTCTCTAATGCATGTATTGTGAAATGTGATACTCATTTTTGAAAACAAAACAAAAAAAATGCATGAATGTTTGCAGTTCACCATTATCAGGCATTGTCACCAGCTTAAAAGGCAATCTTGCATTGGAATGAATCTGGTTGAAACCTAAATGTTTTTTAAGTGCAACTTTATTTGCAGTCAAGTTCTGTGGAAAAGCCTTCATTGAAATCTCTTCTGCAGTTCACCTCTCTTCCATTTCCCTGCGAGGAAGCTCCTCTTTGGCAGCATTCTTGGAGTGATATCGCTATCATTCTCCTCCCTCCCACCTGTAAATGCAATGCCATCAAAGAACGGCTTCACTCGGCACGTTCTGAGAGACGGTGGGTGTTTTCACTTTTATCCACTTTTAAATGGAAAGAACTGCGCAGCTGACATTTTAAGAACTGATGAGTGCGATTGAGGATGGCTTGTGGCGAAGAGTGAAGCGATGAGTGAGCGAACGGAGAGAGACGCGTGAAACGGACTGGTTGTGCGGTGAAAGAGCCAGAATCTTGACTGCTTTCTGAGTGTGTGAGTGGAAGCTGCAGATGCTACGAGCGCCTCCCCTAACATGGACATTCTTTAATTAGTACTTCAAGATTTTTTTTCTTTTTATTTTAAATCTTTGCAAGTTTCTTCTTACTCTTGAGTATGTCTGTCAAGTTCAGAAATATAAAAATGTAGTGGAATGTTGTGCTGACTTCTTGTATTTGCTTATTATCTGATTTGAATGCTGTATGTTGTGTGCTTTCATGTTCTTGAACTGATCTGTAAGTGTGTACTTGATGTGGGTGACACCTGCTGAAGACTCTGGGGGACGCGAGTGATGAGATGTTTGAACGTGGAGTGGTGTGTCCAATGGCTCCCAGTAGCTCTTTGTTGTTTGTGAGGTGTTTTTTTTTTTTTTAAGAACTTGTCAAATGAAGGGAGTTCTCTAATAAAATTCATTTAAATAGTTAACATAGCTGATACTGCTTGAGTCAGTTTGTCGAATCAAAAACATCTAATTCGATTCACATATCTAGGGACCTTGGGCTCTGCTGGTCGAGGTCTCCGTTTGAACCCTGACTGAAGTCTGTTCTGAAGGATGAAGATGGAATTTCCAACACTTTCAGTGTGTGGCCTCATACATGACACGGGGTAGTACCTGTCTTTTTTGCTGGTTTTGGTGGCTTAAGAGTGAATGCTCTATTACCATCAACGTCTGTGATTAGTGGTAAGTTCCTGGAAGAAATACCAAGTAATGTGGCTTATTCCAAATTTATATATTTTTTGTACTGTTCTTGGTAAAAGAAAATAAAACGTATGTTACATTGCTAGAATTTGAGTTTTTATTTAATTTTAAAGATGGTGTCCAGTTTTTTTTTTTTTTTTAGGTAGTACGCATACAGTTCTCAGGCTTCCAAAATTTGTGAGAAATTATTTTTTATAACTTTATAATTTTACGGGTAACTTTGCAACCCAAGATGACATTATTATAAAGTGTACTCAAGCCACTGTGGCAAGCCTTAAAACRATTTTAATGTTTCAGCTTATACAGGTCAGTTTATGCAAAATGCACCTCTAAAAGATTGCATTAGAATTTTTATTTGTTTATTTTTCCCTCCAAGCTGCAGAGAGAATTTGAGTCTGGATAAAGTACAATTTGTTTTCCCAATTATAACATTAACTTGAAATAAATCATTTTCCACTGTCTTGCAGCTTGTGTACTGGTCAGGCTTCATGTTTATTTACAATGTTGGACACAGTGAGACACTGCAGACTTCCTGTTACATGTCCTCAGTCTCTGCTCTCCTCTTCCCCGTACTTTTCTTTTTTAGCTCCTGTTCACGAGCCAGYTCTTCACTTTTACTTTGTATGTAGATGGSCTGAAATAAAAGCAAATTCARCATTAAATTTGTYGTCTTCTGTAAACTGAAAAATGCAATGACTGATCGTATCTACATGTTACTTTTCTGTGGTATTGAGCAATATTGAGCATTTTAGTGGAAATTTGACCAACTCACCAGTGCAGTGCTGCGACGGGCKACAAGCTTTACATCCTCTGTAGACACTGTGCTTCTTTTAGCATGCCTAAAGACAAATTGGAAATCGCAAGACAATTGTATTTTTTRGCTAAAGGCAAAAAAGCACAGGGTTCACTTAACATGGATAAAAATAAAAGCTTACCTCGCAAACGCCTCCAGGTCCTTAGCAAATATTTCTAGGCAAAAAAAAGGAAACGTGTTCAGACAATAAGTTTTCTGGATGAGCAGCGTGAGAGTTTTAAGCATTTACTGGGAAGCATAGATGTTTCAGATTTAACAAAGGTTGTGTATTTAAGCTAAACCTGTWTCTACAAGCGTGTAATTTAAGTATAWAGAAGGCACAAATGTATCTATACTACAATGTATTGAAAAATACTGACTGCATCTGTAAAACAATTACTTATTGACCTTTAACCAGGCATGTCACAGATCTTGCATGGGAGGCCTGAATTAGGTTTTTTTTTTTTTTTCCTGTGTAAGAAAACACTTGCCAAAGTCACTTTAGTTTTACTTGGGTATTTTTGAAAGTATTCTGCAAATAAACACTTTTGAGCACAATTTTTGTGTATTTTAACACAATTCCAGAGTTACCAAATATTGCTGTCACAATTAGTAAATTTATAGTTGCTCTAGAAGCCTTTTTGCCTCTGAACTAATACTTTGGAAAACTGACAAATAAGGTTTTATTTACCCTTTGAGTGAACAAAGAAAGGTACAGTGGCGTTAAATGCAACATTTGTGAAAATTGTATAAGAAATGTTGAAACTACGTGTATTTGTTTATTTATATGTTCCAACCATGAATTGAAAATATAAATACAAAACAAGTCATAAAAAAATACTGAGGCACCAAAACGTAAAAAAGAAAAACTAAATAAAATAAAGTCATGTAAAACAAATGTTTTGAAGTTGTGGATGAGAGCTTAATTGAAATTTGATTTAATTAAGTCAATAAATGAGACTTTATAGCACCAGGAAGTGAACCCACCACATTGTCTGAATGCTGTCTCGGCTATAGCTGCTACAACCWGTCTGCTGAACTTCCTCCGTTSTTCCTCTCCGATATTCTGACACAGACGACTCACTGTGTAATGAACCGCTGCCTTTAACCTCTGTAAATGAAACAAAGATCACACAAATATAAATCCTGCAAAACTTTCTTTTCATCAGTGGGTTTGTTGATGCTAATTTGCTAGCAGCAGCTCTCACCTGTTGAGTTTCATCTTCATCTGTTGACATTATATGTTTTARAGCAGAATAAGATATGCCTCGAATTCAAATCAAATAATGAAAATGACCCGATTTAAAGCTGTGACATTCACGAATGTGTAGCTAAAAAAAACATTTGAAGGAAAGAAAAACTCGCGGACGGAAGTTGTTTTCTCTTATGGAGCGCGAGCATTTCACAGCGCCACCTTGTGACCTGGAGGTGTTCCTACAAAAGAGAGATGGAAGGGAACATTTGGGCTTGTGTAGCAAGGCCCGGTCACACTACACTAGTGTTTCCCAAAGTTGGGGTCGGGACCCAAAGTGGGGTCCCAAAACATCAAGGTGGGGTCCTGAAAAGATTTTCTGAATTAATGACATTTTTGCCTTAGTTGTTACAAAGGAGTGAGGTTAGTGTATTTAAAATGGCCAAATGTAGTATAAAAATATTGTTACTATGCTCATGTTTAGTTGACCTGATACAAATGTTTATCATACATTAGGGGCACAGGTCTCTACTGTTTTGTACTATGTTGTGGGTCAAAAGCTGAAAAGTTTTGGAACCAGTGCACTTTGATTCCCAGAGTTGGGCTTGGGACCCAATTATGGGTCATGAAGCACCTTGGATAATCTCCAGAAATCAATTTAAAGGGTAATAAAATAATTGCTGATGCAACATTTTCCCTATAATTATTACAAAACCACAAAATAAGTAAAAACAAGTATTTATATTTGTGTATAAGCTGTTTAGATTGTCAAAAAGCCTGTGTTTTTAGGGTTAGTAACAAAGTTTGTGTACTCAGACCAGTAATATTTGGGGTCACAAGTTTTTGCCATGGATATTTTGTGGGTCACTGCACTAGACAACTTCTGCAAACCTCTGAAACATTTTTATGTCTAAATTGCTAAAAGGTTATACATTTGATCAGTTTGTTCAAATCACATTACCAAAAATGAGCTTCCTGTTGATTTTTTTATTCCATCTTCAATGTTTTGAAAATGTTCAAAGGTTGGCATAAGTTGTCTAGTGTGACAGGGCCTTTAAAATAAGGTGAACACCTTTTTGAATGTAAAGAGACATTGAAAGAGAAAGGCACAACATTCAGTACTGGATAATTCTTGTGTGCAGGGGGAAAATGAACATAAATGGTTTAATTTAGGTTGCTTTTTGAAAAAATATTGAACTTGGCAGCATATTTTAAACTAGTGAAATTATTCTCATTGGGAATGCACTGAATATCTTGAACCCCTCCAGAAAAAAAAGGAAAAAAAAGCTGATTTGGTAAAGCCAAAAGTACACTAGCTAAAAGCAAATAGGAGCAACATTTAGTGTGTCAACAGCTTAAAGTGTCAAGATAGTTGGGCTGATGCATTCCTTTGAATGCTGTTGTAATTTTATTTATGTTAAGCACAAGCAGGAAACTTTGCACCTGGAAATCTACAACAGAGGTGTAGGGAACAAAGTACTTTATAGCGGTTTTTGTTCAAGGACAGAAAGTGTCTGTCCCTGAGCGAGGCAGGTGTGGAGACGCAGTAGACAAAATTGAGTCTGAGAACCTGAAAGCGAACAAAGAAAACAACATCCTCAAATCAGATTCTGCTTTCCTTTCATTTGCTGAAGTTATACTGAGGTGAAAACTGACTCTTTGTCCCTTAAAGTTTGAAACATTACAAACTTAGTTGGAAAATATGTTAGCAGACGTTCCTCATTCGTGACCTAAAAAAAATTATTATTTTCCTTTAAATATACGAAACTGCATGAAATAGCTGAAGATTTAAGTAGTCATCTTTCTTCTGTTTTGCAGAATATAGACAAAAGAAAAAAATCACGACATTTTTGCTTTTCTTCCCTTTTATTTTCAGATATGACAGCTGGCGCAGCATCGTCTCTCAGCCCATTCGATAGAAACAAAGAGTGCCAGATCATTTTATAACAAGGCTGCGTCACTGGGTCCTTTTAAAAATCTGCTTGCAGACTTGATCTTCACATTTTAATTCCTGAAAAAGCGAGGAAAACAGTTGTAAACTTGAGATGTTTGAGAATAATTGCAAGACTGCTTACATCCATTCTTTAAAAACGTGTGTGACCACAGTTTGAGCATTAAAAAAGGAGGTCATACCAGATGAAGCTCGTCTCCCTGAATCCAGTGAGTCCAGCCTCGGTTTTCCTTTTCTCCTTTCTGAACACACACCAGCTTATCATTATCCCAGGTGACCACACTCTGAAGGGAAACAAAAAAATTACTAGAAAAAACATTTTAAAATTCACATCCAGTTTATTAGCTCTGAGTGACAGACTGCAGATTCAGAAATCAACTGTTACACCTCAAACATTGTTACCTTGCACAACCGGTTGTCCATTCCTTTGGTCACCTCATCAAACTCCTCTCCAATCTTGAAAGAACACTCGTAGTTTCTCAAAGTGGTAGAAGTTTGGAACGTGAAACAATCTCCATCCTGTTTAATCGCTTTCCGAGGCTTCAGCAAAGAGGCAACCTTGCGTGTTGCAAAGTCGATGCCTGCAGAGCAGAAAACAAATTAAAAAAAAAGACCCCAAGCATTTTCACTGTCCTTATAAACTGAACTCATGTTGCTATTTATCAGAAATAAACAACCTCACTTACCAAGTGCAATCATATAACCATCTAAATTTTCATTGCTGATGATCTCCCACGTTCCATTGTAGTCAGCAGGCATTTTGGATGTTTCTGACCCTCTGAAGACCGGACTGGACTGGACTGGACTGAAGGAGTATCAGGAGTGAACAGAACCAGAGTTGATGTTTTATAGTGTCTCAGTGTGGGGCAGGAGTGGTTGTGACACTTCCCTCAGATATTTTGAACAAATTTAGAGGAGGAGAAGTGGGTGGAGCAGCAGCACTTCTTCTTTTTTTTTAATTCTTTTTTTTTAGATATCATGAGGAAACTTTCCCTGTTTTCCCATTCCTTAAAAACACGTCTCAAACCACAAAACGAGTGATTTATTTCACCAGCTCGTCACCAGCCTCTGCAGAGGCCTGCTGATTGAATTGGAATCAGCTGCGCGGAAGCAGGGAAAGATGTAAAACACCTCCAGGAGCAGGACCGAGGAACGGCTCGGACAGAATGAAACCTAATATTTCCTCAGAGCACTCGGGGCCCTCTGCAGTAGCAGAGTTTCAGCACACGCCTGTCTGGATGTGCCGCAACAATGTTTCACTACATGCTGATCTTCATGGCGTATCACGGCAGCAGATGGATCCCACTGAGTCAGAGGTTCAAATTGTGAGTGTGTCTATGAACTGAGATGACGTTTATTTTCATAATAACGTGTTTATTTTTCTGTTCAGTCAGGTTGTGAATGCATTGTTTGTTGTCGTGGTTCTGGCCCCTCAGCTTTTCGTCATGGGAAGGTAACGCAGGTCGTGGCGTTGAGCCACACAGATCAGGGGTTAGTTGGATTAAAAAACGTATTTTTGAGAGTTTTGTTTTTCACTTCAAGGCCAAAGTCTTCAAGATATTGCAGGCAACCTCTTCTGAACAACTTAGCGACCTCCGTTGCCTTGTCCATCATTGCTTCAGGTGAGTCCCGTCGATAAGCACATAGCTTTAAAGTGCCTGTGACATGCCTATCCTTCAAATACAAAAAGTCAAAGAAAACATATTTATACTTAAGAAAATTGGCAGAGTACACATGATTTTACCCATTTTGTCCCATAACTGGCCTGTTTTCTTTTAAATGTGGCTCAGCCAAAGTGAAACAGGAAGYGACATCAAAGGGGAACTCATTAATAAAATAAACTCGCTGGTCTCCGTTTATTAAAACAAAATTATTTAAASTTTAACTCTTCTTCATCTCTCTTTGATAGCGACTAAAAATAATCTAAAGAAACATCAGATTCTTCTCTACAGTCTGTGTTGTTAGCTTTTGTAACAACGCTCTGTTTACATGCTGACATTCCTCTTTGACATCACTTCCTGTTTCTTCACTTACAAATATCTCAACAACCGTTCATCTCAGCGACGTGAAATTTGTTTTGGAACATGTTATCAATGTTATCTTTCAAAAAAGGCATTCATATTTATTAMAAAAATTTGATGTCACAGGCACTTTAAAAACAGGAATGTTTTAAAACATATATTTTTGTCTTTTAAGGTTTTTCTGTGACATTCACACTGATGGATCCAGTTCATCAGAGCTTGTGGGCTGCCTTTCATGTGTTTGGTCTGCTGTCGTGTGGACATGGACTAAGCACCATCATCCTGACTCTCACAGCAGAGGCATGTGTAAGAAACATTATTAAATTAGCCTTCCTTGAAGGAATAACCCACCGCCTCTAATTGCTAGAGGTTTAGACAAACTTCATTTCATGGTGAGAAATTATGAAATTAAGACATAAATCCACCTTTTTTAGCAATTAAATGCATTTTGTTGCATACTTACAGTCTCTAGGACTGCAGAAAAGTTGAATTTAGTTTCTCTCTGTGCTGCGGAGATATCATTTTATTCTGTTTGAGTCAGTTTTCTCAAGTTCTATGACATTTTGGAACTAGCCTCAAAACAAGTTGACCTGAAATACACCTCAGAAAAAAGCTGAAAGAGGGGATTGTGGAGTTACAATTGTGCCATTAAATGTAAAAAATAAAAAAGGATTTAAAAGTGATATATATATATA